CGGGAGTGCAATTTTGAAGAATATTTAATGCAAGAGTTTTTAGACATGAAATGCTCATAACTGTAATTTTATGATTAATGGTACATTTACGGGAAATGTGCTTTGTTTTTATAATGTTAGTAGTTCTGTAGGTTAATAAATTAATAATTTCGGGGCAATATTTTGGATGTATGAATTAATTTATGTGTCAGAGACACTAGCTCCGCTATTATCTATGGGCGATCTCGGAATATGAAATCATAGTAATATTAGCGATCAAATAAGGTACGTTCCACAATATATTACTCAAAGCTTGTAGCACAAAGTACTAAAAATTTATGTGTCAGGCATGGAATGTCATTTCTCCAGAAATAAGACACTAGCTCCGCTATCCAACCTCTTCATTTATCGAATACATATTAGAAAATGTTTGACTATCTCCTATTGCAGAGTAATGACCTGAAGGGTCTACATCATGCATACTAACATCACTGTCGTTTTGAGACAAGGGTATATTACCAGAGACAGCTACTTCGCGATTAGAAACAACATGGCTCTGATTCATTTCTGAAGAATTATTTTGTGCTTCATCTATGGCCTCATAAGGTGGTGGTTGAAGAGATGATGATTCGATAGAGCCAGAATGGCCAATATTTTGTTCAGGATTTTCCACACCAGGATTGTTTGTATTAGTGTTTATAGCATCACGGGGTGGAGATGGAGATGCTGACCGTCTACGACTTCTTCGACTATCAACGGAAGTTCTTCGGCTTCTTCGATTATCTGGCAATGTTTGACCTAATTCATGTTCAACTTCCCCAGTAGATGGTGCGGGTGTATTATTCCCCCAAATTCTACGTTGTCTACGATTAGAACTATTAATGTTGCGGATTTTATCAAATTCATCTTCAGGCCTCTTCCAAAAATGCGTACGAAACTCATCAAAGTATTGCGCATCCATTCGACTTCTTCGTGCTCTTCGATTCCCTGCCATATAATCACACATCAACTAATTGACATAAATTATTAGTCATAATAGCTAAGATGTAAGCAAAAAAATTTGGTCGATTACCTGCTAACTGTATATATCTGGCTTCGAGGTCATTGACTGAGAAGGCGGGAATTTTCTTTACATTAAAGCTCGTATTATGTTCTTGATTAATTCTGGTTGCGATGCTATCCCAAAATCTGATTCAATTCCTTCCAAAATTATGATATTCTTCATTTCTATTTCTACGCTCATCAATGAGGATACGTATTTGAGTATCAGTTAGTGTTGGTTTCCAAAATTAGAGAGTTTCGCAACTATGCGAAAGTCAAAAGGTTTCGCCATAAGTCGAAACTAGTTTTGATTTTTGACTATTGACTTTTGATTTAGTTTTACATATAACTTTTAATTTTAGTTTTGACTTTCGCCTCTTCAAAATAGTTTTGGCAACCAACACTAGTATCAGTCCATTCAACCATTTTTATTGCAGAGCAATGAGGCTTTGCCTCTACGATATTTATCCCGACAATGAATATAATGCGAGAAGGTGGGATTTTGTTGCTTTTATAAGTGTATCTTAAGTATTTTGGCAGTACTTTAACCATACTTTAACCATATATCCATGATTATGTTAAGATATATGTGCTTGGTACTAGTCCGCTATTGTAAAATTTATTGCTTTTCCAATAGTGTTGGTTTCCAAAATTAGAGAGTTTCGCAACTATGCGAAAGTCAAAAGGTTTCGCCATAAGTCGAAACTAGTTTTGATTTTTGACTATTGACTTTTGATTTAGTTTTACATATAACTTTTAATTTTAGTTTTGACTTTCGCCTCTTCAAAATAGTTTTGGCAACCAACACTATTTTCCAACCACACTTCAACATTGTTTCAACCATGTTTTAACGGTATAAATCTATGGATGTTCATTTACTTTTTTCACGTGCTAAACCGCGATTTCCTTGATCCCGTGCCGGTTTACTTTTCAAATATCTCGTGACTTGTGATCGATAACCCGATTATCTTTACCTATAAATGATGTAATAATTCGAGACTTATTTCTACAAAACTACGTCATATTTTCTACTCAAACTTTTTTCAAAATGTTTCGTGATTTAACTAAGAAGCTTCAAGAACAATTCCGACTTCCAAAATTTCCAAAGGAACCTATAGAGGAGAATAGGTAACATATGATTTTATCATAGAACTGTGATCCTTTACTTTAAGTTCCACTTAGTGTTAGCTCACATGAATTGCAGTTTACCTTTTAAGATTGGTTCCAATATATCGATAAAAAACTACAACAAATTTCTTGAAAGCCGTGAACTATCTGGGTACAAGCTTGAATATAATAACGGCAACGTTTTTATTATTGAGATGTGCACGCAAGTACATGAAGCCGTTGTTGCACTATTGCAAGATTATTTCAAAATTCCAAATGGTGGCGTTATTATTGATCCACCAATAATCGTTTTGGGTCAACCACGTAAGAAAATTCAAGCTTGCTTGATCTTTGACTTTTTATGGATTTTCTAATATCTTACATCCTTTTTATAGTTCATCCTTCACCAAATGCAGATGGACTTAGGATTGCACCGGATATTGCAGTACTTCCAGATGAGGCATACGTTCTAAGACCTCCCAATTCTGGACCTCTCAATCTTGGACCTCCCCCAAGCGACACAATGGTACATTGAATTTGGTGTATATTATCATTATTTGTTTTGTATGCAATTTTCTAATACATATACTTTTGTAGGGGAATTCTCATGCTAGAATTATATGCGAGGTTGCAGTTAGTCAAAGTTACCGTGGATTGAAAAATAAGTGTGAACTTTGGATGAGTCAGCAGTACGTGAGATGTGTATTAGGAATAAAACTTTATGATTTGCAAACTACACGAAATACACATGGACGATTTAATCGATCAATGAAGGTATGTATCTGTTGACTATTTTATTGTAGTTTCGTAGTTGATATTCTAAAAAACTTTTTAAAATTAGGCTAAATTATGGAGACAGGGGTTACCAACCAGAAAAGTAATGTTAAACTGTTTAGAGATTCTGTTTATTTTATCTTTTCGATATTTACATGTATATGTCTAAAAAATAGTGGCATTTTGGGACAGTGCAAAAAGGTAGTAGTCAACCTACTGGATGTAATGCTCCGGGTAATCCAGCATATCAGATCAACATTCCGATAAGCGATGTGTTTTATGACCCACCTATTCCAGCTATTGGATATGTTCCACTGGTTTCTTATCCTCGTCCTGCAATTCTTGATGGTAATTTCACCATTGATCTTTACGAAATTCAGCGAGTAGTTTTGAAATGTCAGCCAAGATAATGAATATGTAATGTGTTAAAGTTTTTATAATAATCCTATTTGTTGACACTGCACTGCAATCTATAATACTTTGAACTTGTTTCATGTTCTTATTATTTTTTTTTGTATTTATCAATGCCCATATTAGGCTTATCTTTACTGTGCATATGCGTGTATGTGGGTGTGTGTCAGAAAAATAAAATAGAAAACATATTTAACAATGTGTGCACATGAGATTTTATTGCTTAATCATGGAGCATTTAAAGTTTTAGATTTACTTAATAAGACCCAATTCTCGAAGATGTTCTGGAACAACTATATATGGATCTTCATAATACCAGACATATCTTAAAGCAATCCAGTTTTCTTCGCACAATTCTTTCTTGAGTTGATCCCGTGCTTGCTGTTTAATAAAATTATTGGGATCACCATTATGAAAGAATTCAATATATTTTTCATGTTGCACTCCTTGTACTTCAATTGCAAAACCATATTCAGGATAAAATATATCAAGTTCTAAACCTGTGGAATGTTCTGGTGTTTTTAAGAAATTAGGACGACATATCTTAGATGGCGGTCCAAGATATTTAGAAACAATTTCATGACATAAATTTTCATATTTATTTCGACAAATTGGACACCAGGTATTTCGATCTTTAATAGAATTAAGTGTTGCATGCCATATATGTCCTTTAACACATTTCCATAATAGATTTGAATAGTTATTAAAATATGAGGTAGAGAGACACTCGCCATTCTGACTAAATGCAATTTGCTTGGCTTGATCAATATCACAGGCGTATCGTCCAGAACAATGGGGGCACCATGAATTTGCATTTTTAATACTATTAAATGTTGCATTCCATTCATACCCTTTAGAACAACGCCACAATAAAGCTGTCATGCTATTAATATATTTTTCAGAAAGACATTTCCCATTTCTATCATGCGCAATTTTTCTAGCATCTTCAAGAGTATATCGGGGTCTACCTCCTACACAATGTGGACACCATGTGTTTTTATTTTTTACACTCTCAAGACTAGCATTCCATTCATGACTTACAGCACAGCGCCATAATAATAGTGACTTACCATTAATAAATTTTTCAGAAAGACATTTTCCATTTCTAGTATGTGCGACTTTTATAGCATCTTCAAGAGTACAAGGCTTTCTATGCGAACATTTTATGCACCAATTTTTATTGTGTATAATATTATTGTAGGTTGCTGACCATTCATGACCTTTGGAACATCTCCACTGTAATAATTCCTTGGTAGCTGTACATTGGATAGAAAGACATAATCCACCTCTATCTATAGCAATCTTTCTAGCAATTTCAAGATGAAAAGAATGCCGACCTGCACAAACAGGGCACCAAGTATTCCTATATTTTATTCTATCAAGTGGAGCATCCCATTCATGATCTTTAGAACATTTCCATCTCAATGGTGTGGAAATATTAATATATGTATCTGAAAGACACAAACCATTACGAGCTCTGGCAATATTACAAGCATCATTTAAGGTTATTTTTAATCGCATTGAGATTAGCAAAGTTTTATATAAATAAATTTCTGTTCAAATTCTACACAAAAAATGAATTCAGATATCTAAAGTATATAGTTATTAAATCTAATAGGTCTAAATCCTTAAATTCGATATAAATCACATAATCTCTAAAAACATTAACATTATCTTAATCATTAAATATGGTCTATATGGATAAATGTCCAGTTTTGAGCAATATTGAATGGAGAGATAACTGTCAATTTCCAGTAATCCGTAAAGGTGAAACTCCATCTGATTGGATAAAACGAATTTGGGATCAGTTGACGAATTATAAGAATAATAATCGTTTGACTGACGATAAAAAGCGATATCTTATTGCCAGAAAAATGAAATATTTATGGGAAGGCGATCTTGGTCATGCTGTAGGTGTAAGTATAGCAATATGTTATTCATGTAACAATCTCGTTTATTCTAGAATCGGAAGTGGTTATGAGTGTGGATTTCGTCATTTCATGGATAAACATTGGAGCACAAATTGCACAGGAAACGCATATTGTGATATTAGTCATAAAGACTATATGGAACTTAAAAGTAGATCAGAAGCTAGTAACTCCTACTTTGAAAAAGATGCGATTCGTCGTTATGAATTGTGGATGTCCAATGCTATCAAAAAAATTCAACGTGCAAGAGAAGTTGGAAAAAAGATCCGAGCTGTAAATATCATATCTCAAAAATGGTTGGAATATATGTATAGACCCGATGGTCTCTGTGCTTCACAATTAGCTGAACATTATAAATTATTATGGGCGGTTCGAGAAGAAATGCGTCAAGTTAGTAATGTATAGACCGTGTCTGCAAAGCAATACACATATCTATTTATCTGGTTAATATATCTATTTATTATATAACTTATTCATATATATTTTAAAATAAAATCACCTAAGGTATCCCTAGAGGGCTGGTACTTTAGACTTTTATTCACTGCTATTTCGTGATGATTAATAGCTTTTTTTAC